TGTCAATGTGTGTGTATGAGTATGTGAGTCTGTCTATCTGCCTATGTGTCTGTCTGTTCCCCCTCCCAAAAGACGGGGAGGGGTGGGGGGGTCAACAAACACAGGCCAAACCACCCCCCCTCCATTTCCACACCAGACTCAAATCTGTTAAATTAAGCCATTAACCGCATCTTCGCCCATGATATTATAGGATCTGCCGTCAGTCTTCCAAGAAGAATCAGACGTTGAGAGCGCAGCGAGCGCCTTGATGCTAGTGAGTGGCGGCGCTAAGATCTTCAAAATGAAGAAAGCCGCTTTCTTTGACCAGGCTTCGCAGCAGGCCCTCGACCACACGCGCACACTTGCAAGCAAACAAGGGTGAGTGGAATGTTGCTCTTCAGACAGTAGCTAATTAAAAGTTGGCAGATTTTCGCGCCAATAGACGGTGATGACAGGGACAGGAGCGTTGAAAGGCAGTGAAATAAGTCTTGTTTTAGAATCTTGAAGTTTTGTTTTGTTTCGGGTTCTTTTTTAAAGTTTGGATTTGTAAAAGGTGGGACAAGTTAGGGATTGGCTCATTTTTTTTGCTTAGTTAAAAAGATGTAGAAAAACCCATGAGCTTGCACATCAAAAGTGGATTATTGTCATAGATATGCACTTGAGTTTCAATTTTTAAAATGATACAAAGGAACTTGGAGATACTCATTTTTTCTCACAGACGTTTTCATTTCCCCCTTTTCTCTTGTTTCGCCTTTAAATTAAGGGTAAAACGTGTGCTTGGACATTCCTATCACATGAGATTGAAACCAGGTCAGGATAAGGCAAAATCATGTAAAAATAGACCCCCCCCACCCCACCCCGGCCCCAATTCTTAAAATAAGTTAGAAAAATCTTTTTGCTAATGACGTCATGGTGACCCACGCGTGGCCCCCCGTGGAGTGAGACCCCGAACATTATCATGTACTGGGTCAAATAAATGGCGGAAGTTAACTTTGACCCAAATACCCCATGCCCATCACCGTGTCTCGGAGTTTGTAACATCTTTATTAATTATTTTTATAAGGTCGAAGTGGACATTAGAAGAAGAAGAAGAAGAAGAAGAAGAAGAAGAAGAAGAAGAAGAAGAAGAAGAAGAAGAAGAAGAAGAAGAAGAAGAAGAAGAAGAACCACAACAACAACAACAACATCAACAACAACAACAATAATAATAATAATAATAATAATAATAATAATAATAATAATAATAATAATAATAATAATAATAATAATAATAATAATATCCTATCAGCAACAGCTCAGAAAGAAATGTTCCGGCACAATTTGAACCATTGTGCATACATCAGAAACACAAGTTCGCATCATAATATTATTATTATTATGTATGTTGCTGCCTGCCTTTTTTTACGTTTCAGAAAAAGAAAACGGGGTTGAAAAAATCCAGTATGAAAAAGGAAGCTATGTTGTTTTTGTTTGTTCGTTTGTTTGTGTGTTTTGTTGTCTGTCTGTTTGTTTGTTTGTTTGACCCCCAGAAGAGCTGGCCTTAAAGCGTATTGTATCCTCAGTGAGTTAATATCAACAATCTGAAGCTCTTTATCAATACTGTTTGTCCTTTTCCTTGTCTGTCGTGCGATATTTTTTCAGTCTCTTGTCCCGTCTGGATAGCTTTGAATGCCTTGCCCTGGGTTTTGTTTCGCCGTTGCTGTTTTGTTGTTGCTGCCACTGTTGTCATTGTTGTTGCTGTTGGTGCTGTTGTTGTTGTTGTTGTTGTTGTTGTTGATGATGTTGTTGTTATCGTTATTGTTGTTGCTGTTGTGTTGTGCTGTTGTTGTTGTTTATATTGTCGCTGATAGTGTTGTTGTTGTTGTTGCTGTTGTTGTTATTGTTGTTGTTGTTGCTTTTGCTGTTGTTGTTGTTTTTGTTGTTGTTGATATTGTTGTTGTTGTTTATGATAGTATTGTTGCTATTGTTGCAGTTGTTGTTGCTGTTGTTTTTGTCGTAGATGATGTTGTTGTTGTCGTTGTTGTTATTGCTGTTGTTTTGTTGTTTTTGTTGTTGTTGCATTTGTTGTTGTTGTTGTTGTTGTTGTTGTTGTTTTGTTACTGTTGTTGTTGCTATTATTGTTGTAGCCCTGCTGTTATTGTTGTTATTGATGGTTGTGTCGTTGATGTTGTTGCTGTTGTTCGGGTGGTGGTGAGAACGATCAAGCTGATTTGAGCGAGTTCCGTTCAACCCAATACCGATACTCTGTTCCTTAGAGGAAAAGAATAAAAAGCCCTTTAACTATAAAGTATTCCCGTATGCAGTAATGGGTCTTGTTCGGGTTTTGGACGGGAGGAGGATGTGTTGACTGACATGTGCGTGATTAGGGCACTGAAACAGGCAGGTGTTGGGATGAGTTTGGGCTGGATTTCTTTGGGGGTTTTTTCTCTTCTTCTTCTTCTTTTTTTTTTAAGGTAATCACAAAGTCGGCGCGGTATTTGAGCTTTTTAGGTTGAAACAGTGCAGGTGGTGGTTTAGTATCGCATACAGTGTTGGGGAAAAAGGTGGGCAAAAGTGAACGGAATAGTTTTTTTTCTTTTA